TTATTGGCAGGTGCTCGCGCCGCCGCCCCCCCCCCTCAGAAGCCCATGCGGGCCCGTTTGGGCTGGGGGCCCTGGGAAGAGAAGGGCCCCCGCTGGCTGCTGCCCAGGGCCGAAGCCTGGCTGGTGGGCAGGTCGTCCTCGGGGGGCTCCGGGGGCTGGTCCAGCACAGCCAGGTACCTGCGCAGGGTTTGGCGACGCTCGCGGGGGATGCCCCGGGCACTCAGGCTCTGTGAGGAGAGCAGGCCTGGGGAGCCCTCCTGGGAACTGGGCAGCAGAGGGACCGGAGCCTGGGCGGGGGGCTCCGCGGGCAGGGCGGGACCAGTCACTGGGGCAAGGTGGGACCGGTCCCCCGACCAGTCACTGGGCTCCGACTGGTAGCTGGTGGAGGAGGTGAAGCTGCCGGAGAGGCTCTGCGTCCCCCTGCGCCGCTTGGCTCGCCTCCGCTGCTCCCTCAGCTCCTGCTGTCGTCGGGCCTTGGTGGAGCCCAGCCTCTCCAGCCACCAGGTCACCCAGTCACCCACCCAGGAAGCCGCCAGTCGTTGGCCAAGCTCCCCCAGGGGGCCCTGGGGGGCAGGGGGCACGGGGACCCCACTCTCCTCCCCCCAGGAGAGGTGCCCTTCCCGCATGGCCCTGTGCAGGCGGCGGGAAGCCTGCTGTGAGGACGGGGAGCTGCCCCCGGTTTCCCTCAACTCTTGGTGGGTGAAGAGGCAGCCCTGGTGGAGCGTGGCTGGAGGGCACTGCCGGTCCTGGGCAGGTGGGGCGGTCCGTTTCCAGGCCCTCAGCCAGCGCCGGTACAGGGCTGCAGCCGCCGGGCTACAAGCGGTCTTGGCTCCGTCTGGAGAAACAGAGTCCTGGTGGGGCCTGCCCACCACAGCAGCTCCAGAGTCCGCGAGGGAGGGAGCCTGCCCCTCGGCCTCTTCCCCACTGGCCTCTGGGAGCAGCGCCTGGTAGAAGAGGTCCCCAGCCCCGGAAAGCTGGAAGACCAGCAGCGTTTGGATGCCCTCCCTCTGGCCCGGGGCTGCTGCAATGCCTGCATGTGGGGGGGAGAAATGGCAAGAGGCGGGATGCGATTAGTGGGGGGGTGGGTGGGGGGGCAATTCCTGAAGCCCAGCTGGAAGAGCAGGGGAGGGGACACAGCTCAAAGCTATGAGTCAGGCATGGCGTAATGCCCTCCTGCTTGGGGCCAGCTCGAAAGGGGGGGGGGGGGGGGCAGGCGGGGGCCCCTACCCCCCCCCCCCCCTCTGGAAAGGTTTCTCCCAGCCCATCTTTTTCACAGGGTCTCTGAGACCACCCAAGGAGGAGGATGGCAGCCTGGAGCTGCAGGGAGGCAACCCAGAGCGCCCCCTGCTGCAGCCTCGCGGGAGTGAGTGCAAACCCCGTATCCCTCCCTCCGGCACCCATGCCAGCCACACCGCCTCGCCCGGCCCCTCCCTACCTGCTGTGGGGACCGAGAGACGCCGGCTGAGGGCCCTCTGCCTCGCAGGCACCTGCACAGGGAAGTGGGGCAGGCAGTCCCTGATGGATGGCAGCTTCTGGGGCGCACCCTGGAGCTGGCAAGGGAAGCTGTGGCCACCTGTGGGGATAGCCCAGCAACCTCAGAGTCCCGCGGCACCCAGGCTGCCCCTCCCGGAGGCTGCCTCCCCCTCAGCGCCAGGTGCGGGTGGCGGGTGCAGGGCCCTTTCCCGTGCCCACCTGAGTACTGCAGCAGGAGCATCTCCTGGGAGTGGTGGGCGCCCAGGAGCACCTTGTGGCTGGTCTGTGGAGGCCTGGCAGGTACGAGGTGGGCGTAGATGGGCGGCCGCTGCATCATGTGCTCCCAGCTCAGGACGGGCACCAGGGGGAAGCGTTCATCCAGCACAAAGACTGAAAACTGCAGGGGAGGAGGAGGAGAGCTTGTTCCTGGGCACAGGGACCCTCCAGCAAAGGAACCCACCGCCTGCCTCGGGGGGGGGGCAGGGGGGGCAGGGGAATGCCCAGGCTGAGGCTCCTGGGCCAGACCAAGACTGCACAACAGAAAGCGCCCACAGCAGCCCCCAAATACCACCCCCCCAAGGTTACCTGTGTGGCCACCAAGTGGTGGAAGGGCTCCGAATGGCCCAGGTACTTGGAGAGGAGCAGCCGTTCCCCACGCTGGCAGCCGGCTTCAGCCCCCACCTTGAAGAGCTCGAAGTGGCCCCCGGAGGACACCTGGGGGCAGGCCAGGAAGGTCAGCAGCAGGCAGCGACTGCCCCCCCAGCCCAGAGGCCCTTCCCAGAAGCCCCCACACACACAAGGGAGAGGGGGCGGCAGCCCCCCACGGGCCCCCTGCTCAAGCCTCACCCTCTGGTCGAGGCCCTTCAGGCCGGTGCGGTCGGCAAAAGTCAGCACTCGTGGGTGGGCGGAAAACTCGCTCCAGCGCCAGGAGGAAAGGTCCCGGAAGAAGAGATTGTGGCGGTCACGGTGCAGCCGTCGGAGCCTGGTGGGAAAGGGGGTCAGTCCCTGCCCCTTCGCAGCCAAAAGCTGGCCTGCTGGCAAGAGGGCAACAGCCAGAAGCCGCTGGGGCAAAGCCCACTCCTCCCCAGAGGCCCCCAGGAGAGCCTCATCTCTGGCGCACTGGCTAGTCTCTCTGGCTGCCCCTCCCCCACCTCTGGGCCCCACCCCCGATGTCCTCCAGTGGTGGGGGGGCACTCGTGAAGGCCCTCAGCCGAGTCTTGCTCACCCTGTCTCCACATTCCAGAGGTACAGCTCCCCTTCCAGGGTGCACAAGGACAGCTCGCCAGGTAGGTGGGGGCTGCAAGGAGAAAGTGGAGCTGGGGAAGGGCAGAGGACCCCCAACCCTTCCCCCAAGCAGCAGGATAGCCCCACGTGTCCCACTGGCCGAGAGCTCCATGAGCCCCGCAACCCTTGGAGAAGAGGGCTCTCACCTGACTGCGATGGAAGAGCACGGGGCTTCTGTGCAAACCACCTGCAGAGGGACAGGGGCCCTTCCACGCTGCCGCCTCCAGGCCCCACAGAAATGGGCCGAGCGGACCCCCAGGAAGTCTGGGACGGAGGGAACAGAAAGGCCCCTTCATGAGCGGAAGAGCAGGGGCAGCAGAGGGCCGGTACCCCCCGCCCCCCCCCCCACGGACTGCTGTACCCACCGCTGCCCTCCAGGTGCGCAGCTGACACTTGCTGCACTGCTCCCTTGAGCGTGAACTGGATGGGGCCGCCCCGGAGTTGGGGTCTCAGGGCGCCGCTGGCCGCTGGCCTCAAGGCCGCCTCCTGGAAGCCTGCAGAGGCCGCTAAGGAAGAGCAGCGCTGCTGCTGCTGCTGCTGCTGCTGCGAAGGGCTGGAGACGCGTCAGCAGGAGGGGCGCCTGCCCCGCGGCCCGGGACCCCCCGCCCCATCCGCTCGCGCCTCAGGATACAGAGCCGGTCCGCGGCCTCCCCGGCCGGGAACACCAGGCAGCCCCGGCGTGGGGGTTCGCCGCGGGGGCCGTCAGGCAGCCAGGCCAAGGCCCCGCCGGTGGGAGTCTCGTCGAAGGCCAGTCGCCGCCGCCGCTCGGCCAGGTCCTCGTGGAGCCACTCGGCCACCAGCTTCAGGGGCAGCTCGGACAGCCAGTCGCGGCACAGCGAGGCCACGCCGGAGAGAGGCCGCGAGGCACTGCAACGGGACAACGGGGCGGCCGCCGGTCACCCGACGGCCGCAGCGGCAGATGCCTCGGGAAGGCCGGATCGGCGGAGGCAACCACCGCGGGCGGCTCGGGGAAGCAGGTCCCAGGGTCTCCCCCGCCGCTCGGCCCGCAAAAGGCACTGACCTGCCGCCTCCCGTCCGGCCTTCCAGGGCGCGAAGACAGCGGGTCATCCCGCAGACGCCTCCGGCTCTCCTCTGCGGAAGAGAGCGGGCGGCGGGTCAGGCGGGGTCCTCCCGTCCCCCCCGCAGGGCTCCGGGAAAAGCCGCCGCCGCCGCCTCCCCGCCCGCGCTCACCCAGTCCGTCGAGTCCCCCAGGTAGACGTGCTCGTGCAGCAGCCGGGCCGTGGCCCCGAAGGCCGCCTCCGGCTCGTCCAGGAAGAGCCGCCCCAGCTGCGAGCCCAGCGCACTCAGGGCCGGCCCGGCGGACGCGTCCTCGATCGGGGGCGCCGCTCCTGGGGGCTTCAGCGGCAGCGGGGCGGCCTCGGTGGGCAGCCAGCTCTCCCGCGCCTTCCGGAGGCGGTGGGGCACGAAGAGCGGAGGCGCTCCAGGGCCGCCCGCCGCGACGCCCAGCTGCCCGCACTGGCCCCAGCCGCCCACCCGCAGCCCGGCCTCGAGACCGTCGCGCCCGGGCGGCCCCGCGCGGAACAGCCCCGGCAGCAGCGCGGCGGGGAAAGCCGCCATAGGTGCGCGCAAGTGCGGGACTGCCCGGCCGCGCATGCCCAGAGCCGCCGCGCGACGCTCTCTCTCTCTCTCTGTCTCTGTCTCTGTCTCTCTCTCTCCTGCGCCCCCTGGCGGCCAGTTGCCCCGCGGAGGAGACCGAAGCCCTGGATCTCAACCCGCCCCCCCTCCGCCTTTGGCGCTTCTCTGCTGAAGGCTTCGGGGAAGGACAGACGGCCAGGCAGGTGGGCGAAGTAGCAGCTCTCGAAGGAAAGCGGCCGCGGGTGTTTTGTTTTTTTTTAAACTCAAAAGGCAGCAAAGCTTGCAGGGAAAGCGGCTCAACCGAGAGCAGCGCCCCAGCGCCCCCTGCTCCCTCTGTCCCTCGCCTGTCGCGGTTTCTCTCGAGGGAAAAGCGCTGCCAGGTCTACGAAGGGAAGCGAACTGTGTGCGCCGCGCCGCGTCTTTCCAGCCCGCCGAAGCCAGCAGAGCAAAGCATTCGCCGAGCCTCTCCGCCTCCCCCGCCCCCAATCAGCGCTGGACTCCTCGAGGGGCGCCCCTCTT